TAAACAATATCTTATTTGCAGTACATGTACTGATTTTTAAACAGTTATTTCTTCGATGGCCATTTTCCAATTTTAAAACTTTAATCACATTGTCTTTGATTTTCGGCCTTATACTGTGGACGTGCTCTTTTAATAAAATTCATATCTTAATGCTTTCTGGCAATTCTTTGTGCTCCAGTTCATGAATTCCTTATACATATTATTGTAAATAAAATAATAATAGAAATACACATGGTGCTACATTCCGATAACGCCAAAAGGTCTTTTGTCTATGTAAAATTTTGGGGATAATGAGTTCATTTAAATACGAAATAATAATACAGTAGTTTTACAGACAATTCTCAAGTTCATTTAATATAAAATGTGAGCTCTTCAATATCTTGTTATTGCTTTTGTATGTCTTTTTGATATGTTTGCACAATATCCAAAGAATACATGACTGTATATATGGTATTTCCAATGGTCACCTTTGTGGGTGAAAATGCACATCTATAATTTACCGCTCCACTATTTATTATTCCTGCCTAATCATTTATGAAGTGGTACTCTGTTCTTACGCTAGAAAAGTTTGTGATATGAAACTTTTATCAACATTTCGACGAAGTATATAAGGTTATCTTAAATATAATTTCTTCCAATCCAATCAAAAATCTAATGGTTTTCTCAAAAAGAGTATGGGATTAATCCCCTAAATTGTCATGCACTCATTTTTGATTCTAGTTATAAAGACGTTAACTTCTAGTTTTCATGGTCAATGATTCATTAAGCACTTTACGTGAGTACACTAAAGTATTTCTTATTCCTCTTAAAAATTCAAATCAATAAGGCATAAATATTAAATGAAAAACTCTTCTGAGTCTATCTGTTGTCTGATATCCCAATAAGCAAACACTGAAAAGTACTTTAATTTGCTCAATCTTATTTTATTCTGTCTATTCTTTTTTCGTTAAAGACATGTTGCAAAATTTTCATACCAGTTGTTAGGTCATTGCTTTTGTACCGGATTTGTCTGCGGAGGACTCCGTATACCTCACCATTACATAGGGTTCAAGGTTTGATCGTTCAAAAGGAGATTCTTACTCCTCCTAGGAATTTGATCTCTGGTGTTTCCAGGGGTCTGTGTTTTTGCCCTGTTCACGATTAGTTTTGTTCTTTGTTCACTGGATTGAAGAGATTGACACTGTAATCAACCGTTTATATTCCACGAAGCTTCTCTTAATGAGAAACATAAAAGTTAGTTTAAAAAAGAAAGGGATAGTTTATCCTTTTACTGTAATGTATTTATCTCTTCCTATGATCTTCTGACTTCCTATAAATAAATGATCAGATTGATATCTTTGGCTTTTAATCCTCTTATCAAACATGAAGCTTTTTCCCGAATGTCTTTTTATTCTGTAACCGAATATTGTTAATTAATAATTAAAACGTTATGAGTTATGGGCCACAAAAGTCAAAGAGGTTCTGCGATACCTTCGATAACCCATAAACTAAAGACATCTTTCAGAATGAGTCAATCTGATTTCCCTCTTCGTAACACTTATCACAACAGAAAAATTTTCTTAAAATGGAAAACTCTTTAACACATATTTTACACCTGGTCCCACCTGTGGTGTAATTAAGGGTCCCTGTCATATTTTTGGCACCTGGTCCCATCTGTGGTGTTTCTAGGGGTACGTGTCATATTTTAAGCACCAGGCTTCGGGGCCACCATCGCTGAGATTTTCTCAAATCTGAGAATTCTCAGAAAATTTGAGTTTTTGTCACCAAACTGTGCCACCATATACATATTTTCTCAAACTCAAACCTATCTTTGAGTTTTTTTCTTAAATTTGAGATTTTTCTCAAATCTGAGAATTTTCTGAAACATGCGTGCCACCAACTTTTTTCCGAATCAGCTGAGAAAAGAATTTGAGATTTCACAGAAAATCTTGAGATTGGTACATAGTAGTCTCAAATAAAATCTCACAGAATTATAATATGGTAAAATGGTTGCAAATGTTTTGACAGTGCATACTTTTAAACATAAATACACGAAATTAACATGTAATCACAGAAAGTATGTTAATTTCTCCAAAAACAAGATACCGTATTTAAGAAGGGGGGGGGGGGTTCTTGCGCACATGTTAAAAAAATCTTAAAATATTTCCACGCCTTGAAACAATGCATTTGAAACTTTACCAGCAGAAAAAAAAGAAAACAAGGAAAAATTATGAATAAAAGCATTTTTGTAGCACGTTATACATAACGTCTACATCTTCTTTCATACAGGAATTAATTTAAAAAAAAAAATTAAATTCATATTTTAGTATGCTATTTATGGTCAGCCAAATTTATTAATTCACAATGTACCTGTTTATCAGAAAAGGAAATATGACTAGATAAGTTTCAAACCTCCACGGGCTCTTCTTTGTTATTTCTGCAGTAGTTATTTTTACTTGTAAAATATACGTACCTATTCGCCGGTGTAAATTATACGAAAATTTTAATTGAATGCTGCTTAAAATTCTGTGTACAAAGATTGCTATGCATTCGAAATAGTTTACAAATCACAATTTATTAATCACTGATGATAACAGTCTGTCCAGTTTGATTCTTAACTAAATCTATAAAATTCTTAATTGAGAATTGGGATCTACTTTACACTCACAATGCATCGCACTCAAAAATCCTTGACTATACATATTATTTATATGAATAAGCCTGACTTATGACCATTCTAAAGTACATGTATAAATCACGGCAAGAACTTACAGTATTTTTTTTAATACGACCAGTTACATTTTGGAAAAAAAAGGAAAAAGTATGTTCCTTATTTTCAAATATTAAATGATCACGCCGTGAAACTTTTATTTAGCAAATGATAATAGGAATCAATCAGTTAATCGTCATTTGATAAGAGTATATGAGATTGATTTTGGGTTTCCTGTGTAACGACGTAAATTGTTCACAATATTATTTCCTTTGATCGCTTAAAATGATTTTTTTAAAATTCTAAATAGGGACAAAAGTCCCGTTACCTAAAATTTTTTCTATGGATAATAAAATGTTATAGATATATATGATGTTTTACAAAACAAAATTAAAGAAAGAAAAACGTGATCGGCTTGCAAATAGATCTATAGATCTAGTCTTGATCCGCCTATTTACTTTTTATAATCTTTCGGCACGTAACGTCACAATGGCGGAAGTGACGCCTCGGTGTATATTTTTGTGTGTTTATGTCGACAGACGAGCCAAGACTATAAAGTTTGGATATTTTTTGTATTATTTTTCTGTAGGGATTATTTTACGGGGACTCGGTGAATGTTTATTATCGCAAAGATCGTAATGGAATCCTTTGCGTGAATAGCTCAAAAAAGCAAAAAAAAAAAAAAAAAAAAAGACGAAGAATGTGGAGAATGTGTATATTTCGTAATCATACACCAAAATATTGCATAAACAGCTAACTGAAAGTTAAATTCAATCATTGATTCAACAACTTCGTGCATTATAAGAAAAAAGGTCACATATAACAACAAGAATAAGTCTAAGATTTTTCTCAAATCTCAGCTTACGTGAGACGAATCTCAGAAATGTTGGTTGCACGGTGTTTTAGGAAAATCTCACCTGAGGCAGAAATCTAAGAATTAAGTTTGAGATTTGAGCTGAGATTTTTATATGTTTGTGGCCCCGAAGCCAGATCCCAGCTGTGGTGTTTCTAGGGGTCCGTGTCATATTCTTTGCACCTGGTCCCAGCTGTGGTGTTTCTAGGAGTCGGTGTCATATTTTTGGCACCTGGTCCCAGCCGTGATGTTTCTAGGGGTCCGTGTCTCATTTTTGGCACCTGATTCCACCTCTGGTGTTTCTAGAGGTCCGTGTCCTATTGCCCTGGTTTACGTTTCGTATGGTTTACAGTATTTATGAGATTGTTCATAGTTCGCTATCTTAATCTTTTTCGTTAAAAATGCATTTGTGAATATGCTTTATTGATTTCTCTCTTTATTTTTATTTCTTCAATACTTCTTTTATTTGAAATGTCTGCCAAATGCCTTGTTTTACGTCTTTTCATTCAAATGTATTTTGTCTTCCGTCACTTTTACATTGTACAATGCGATCATCAGTATCAACCTGAGATTAGCATTCAATAGCTAGACTCTGATATGTTCATCAACTTGCTATTTGGAAATACATGTTGCTTGAGATTTCCACAAATTTCTAAAATGACTTATCAAATAACCATACATCTGTTTCAAGTATTTTCTGTAGATTCCTTATTTTACGCCCGTATTTAATTAAGCATAATAACTATTAGACGTCAAATCGAGAGAACTTAAATCCGCGATTTGACGTTTCATCCAGAGTTTATACTTGCTTTTCAGCTATATGAAAATAAAAGCGAGTATTTTATTTCGCGATTGTTGCTTCTCATGAAATTACGCGATAATAAATTCCTTGCATATAATTAGGAATCTATAGTAACCAGAAATACAAAACAACACTTTTATGTATATAATTAATAAATCAATAAAAAAAATCCCATAAACGTTACATTATTAAAAAATCTTTTCCACTAATACAGAGAGAATATTAACAATAAACAGTGAGTTAAAATGGGTTTTTATAATCTGACTGAATAATTAAAGGAAGCAAATAAGCAATTTTTTTTTAGTAAAATTATAAATTCAATGTAATTTTCACGCTTACAAATGTAAACATGCACACGATATTGAAAAATCTGTTAAAGGGAAACTCAAATATTATATATTTACAAATCGAAATAGCTTAATGCTTATTTAGATAATGGAAGAAATGTATTGAACAAATATACTCAAATATTCGCTATAATTTGATTCGCACGCCTACCATTTTTTCACCACTCCTGGAAAGATTTTTAAGTCATTTACCACAATATTAGAGCTGGAAACAAAAAAGATTATCTTTGTCCACTCTCTGATTACATGCTGTCTGCTACACGTGCACTTTTGTAACAATTGTATTGGTTTCCAACAATAACTGCCTCATTAAGGACGTGTAAATTTTTTAGGTAAGAAAGATTCCATGTCGAAGTTAAAATACCGAAACAGTTGCATTCGGTATCGCTTCTGTTGACCTTTTAGATCTGTCATAAACTCTATCAAGGATCCATAAGAAAGATCATACCTTAAAATAATTAAAAGCTTAATTACTTTCATCAAATCAGAGGTTCTTACAAGTTGTCCCATTAAGCTGCTGCGGCTGAAATTTAAAACAAACCAAATTCGATTAGGCTTTGTCTGTTGATGTATGAATCCAAGGATTTTTATGAAATAGTCCTTTTCACACAGAACGTCCTCATCCAGTAGAAGAAGATAGGAGGAGAAATTTTTCCCGTAAGTCACAATGTTTAAAAAAGAAAGGTTTTCTTCCCGTCTTTGTTTCTCTTGGCTACTTTCATTCTCTTGCAACGGTAAGAGTTTTGAGAGTACATTCCTGCCTCTGTAGGCAACCTGGACAAAACCGCTGTCTATTTTTTCTTTATACTTTTCATACAACATTCTCCCTACTGTTTGACACCACGCTGTATCATCACTCAGAAGAAATACAACTACGACAATTTTCTGGAAATCTTTCCAATAGGTGTTTTCTATCAGGGAATCAAGTGTCTGTTCTACAAATCTGATAGACTCGTCTGATCTCTTTTTTGCAGGAATTGCAATTGTTAGATATCCTGAAAATTGCTTTAAATTACAGTCATGCAAATTATTTCAAATAAAAAAGTCTAAAGCATTTCAGCATAATTATTACCAATCGTTTATGTATTTTAGCTAAACTTCACGATAGTCATACAGAGTTTTCTCGCGATAGTCATGTAGAGCTTTTGATATTTGTTCTTTCAGCGAGATTTAAATATTTACAAAAACTCTGCAATAAAACACGTGCCCTGATGTAGAGTTTATTAGATAGAATTAATCTATCAGAAAGGACAATTGAATTAACCCAATATGAAAGAAATAGGATATGGTATGAAGATTAAATTTATATTTACACATTTTTTTCTTGTTATTTTGACTATTTTATTAATATGATGTATTACCTTTGTACTGTCTGAACACTCCATACAGAAGAGCCTTGCCACGCCTTGCTGACAGATATTCTTCTATCTTTTCATCATATGTCATTGTTCTACTAGACTCTGTAGGCCAGTACTGCTTCCTTTTTACCTATAGAAGACCATAAAACCTGGGTGACTTTCTACGAAGATCATATTACAAGCTTATAAGCCTCAAGCGACATACGGATCCTTATAATAATGTACATGTTTATGAAAAGAAAAGACCCGATTATTGTAAATAATATATCACACTAAGCAAAATTAAATTATGATTAAACAAATCAATTTCTTCAATATGAAACACAAATTCATTTTAAATTTTCTTAATATGTCAGATATAAGGTAAACACGTCAATTTTGAATACTTTTTATCTCAGCTTATTCTAGCATTAGTTATTTGTCCCAATTTATAAAATATATACGGCCTTTTTAATAATAAGACAGGGGTCTTAAGGGTTAAAAGCCAAAGACATTTTTAATGAGTCCGAAGTCAAACAATGAAAGCATATTACCGGTATAATGGAAAACATCCACTGTATTCAGTATACCAATATAGATTGCTCAAACACTTGCAAAAAAAATTAATTACCAACTACACTGAGTAAAACAATGAAGATTGATTAACATCTCGCTCAAATTCCAATTCTAGCTAGTATTAACAATGCACTCTAGTGGTAAAGACTGCTAAAATCTTCACTGAAGATCTCCAGTATATGGCTTGTTAAAGAAAAATGATCAAAACATCAAGGAAAATCCTTAATAACAGATTAAAATTAAGATTGTACAAGACCTCCCTGACTTTTTCAGCTGGTTTTTTCCCTTTATTTAAACCTCTCATTTCCATGACGGCAACTTCATTGTGTTTGTCCTTGTAGCCATTCCCTATAATAGATTTTTTTTTTAAAAATGTAATTATTTCAAGTTCACTGATAAATATATGTGTTTTTAAAAACATTTGATGGGTCTTGAAAATTACAAAGTATATTAATTGGTCAGAAGGGGGGGGGTATCCAAATTAATGGAATTGGACAATTGTCCTTCTTAAATCAACTTGACATTCCAAAATTTGCTGAAAAAAAATCGTTTTTGCAATAAACATTGTGAAAATTATTCTTGTTTTTACAAATTGTTATGATGCAATCCAGCATCTTGAGGTTTCAGACCAAGATAATTTTAAAAGTTAAAACAGGTCTTTTGTTTGTTTGTTTTTTAATAATGCCATTACCCTTTTAAAAAAGTTGATGATACAAAGAATGAAATATGAAGATAACGAACAGTATTCAATCTCGAAAGTCCAATAAAACGATACAAATTTGGAGCAGAGCAAACACGGACATCAACATTTAGAGGTGAGATCAGGTGCCATGGAGGAGTGAGCATCCCCTGCCGACCGGTCACACCTGCCGTGTGCTCCTTGTCATGATCGAAAAAAACAGAAAAAAATTACATGTTTATATAAAAATGATTATGAACACTGTTGCATCTAGTAGCAATGAAATTGCATTTATGAAATTAGTAATCAAGATGTGAGTTATGGTAAATCTGAAATGTACTCAAAGGTTACGTACTTTTCCCAAATGCCCATTCTTCAAAGTATACAAGTGTGCCATTCTTCAAACATTCATTAGAATATTTACTCCTTAATTATAAAATCGACAAGAAAATGTAAACAAGAAAAAAAATTCTATTGCTTACATTTTGAATGATATTTTGATATTCTTTCTCAAATTTTGTCCCTCACAAATGAATCACCTAGTATTCACTGACGTCATAACATTCACAAAAGACTGTGATATACAGCCCTGTATAATTTGATCATCATACCTTTGATCCAATGATTGGGGCAGTAATGCTGAGTACATCCTATGACCATTAACAAAACAATACAGTGGAATATCACAAACACTGGTATCAACAAAAGTGGTTGCTTTATCCAGAATCTGCGGGGCATTTTCTGCTTGCATTCCAGTCTGCTTGACATGATCAAAAATGATTTGGAAATCCTTTGTCTTATTTTATGGCAAACAATGTGTCAAAGTTTGTTTAATTGACATCGAAGTCTAAACAAAATAGTGTTCGACTAAGAAATCAATCTTAAGTTGTATTCAAGAGACGTTGATAAAATAAATACTCTTAGACCAAATATTTGTGATATGGATTGTTTGGAAATATACTGGGAAAGATGTCGATGTTCAGCCTCTCAAAGAAATACTAATTAACAGCCTTTTATCCAGAGGTCTAGCAGAGCATTAAATTCTGAACTATGACTTCGTTGATTTTTATTCGTTGTATAAATATATAGTTTACTTGGAACAGTCTATACAAAGAAATGTGATGTGCAGCCATCAATTGCCCCGAAAAGCATATTGAGTAAAACTGTTTTAGTCAAATAAGTATATGTAAATGTTTCAAGGCAGATCAATGCCATCGCTGCACATGAGTATTGTGTGACTTCATCCTAATAAGTCATTTATTCAGTCATTATAACCTTAGTCAATACAGCACATCAGAATATATATAATAATATAAAAGTTAGTTTTATATATATATATATATATATATATATATATATATATATATATATATATATATATATATATATATATATATATATATATATATATATATATATATATATATATATATATATTATTTCATAGTAAGTGCTCCTTGTCATAATCGGGAAACACAAATCGGAAAAATCCGTAGACAGTTCAGTGTATGAGTAATAGCCCAACAATTAATATGAAAAACGTCAGTCAGCATTTGACTCAATGATAGGTTGTATGTGCTGACAAGGTAATTGTATTGACCGAAAAATTTGCGAAAAGATGATTTCAAACGAGAACGTTCATATCCTTGTTTCGTCAACTTGTTTGTCAATAGCTTGCTTTTTTAGAAATTGTTCATACGTAGAGGATGCTTTTGCATGCAAAATGCATTGCAAAATGATAAAACCCGTAAGAAACAATTCGGCTGGCTTAAAGACACAGTATTCAGAGACATGGACACAGAAACCCGTGACTAAAGCAATCCTGCTCTTTTATCAAATATATATAGTGCCGAAAAGTGGTCAAGGCACGGACAAAGCAAGGGATATTGGCCAAACTTTAAGAAATGAATTTCACTTTTGGATATTCATGACGACATGATTAACTATGATGCTTCATACCGGCATTTCTCATGAAGAGTGATAGCTCTTTATGATAAATACGCAGACGCGAAGCGTTGTAGCTCATGTCCCTCATGATATTAAAAGGATGCTGGAGTTCCTCATTGACAATATATATATGTAGTCTTCGGAGGCCAGGCCTTTCAACAAACTGTAGGAATTTCGATGGGCACTAATTGTGTTCCTTTATTAGCCGACCTTTTTTCAAAGTCCTATGAAGCAGAATTTATTCAAAAACTCCTACATGAGAAGAAGAAAACACTTGCTGTGGCCTTCAATTTGACATTAAGATATATCGACGATGTACAGTGTATTATCAATAAACAATAGTTACTTTCAATCATATGTCGATTGGATATCATATCACAGTGATCTGGAGATAAAGGACACCACAGAGTCTGCCACGACTGTTTCAAATTTGGATTTTTACTGACTATAGACATAAGGGCTAACTAACAACTAATTGTATGACAAACGAGATGACTTCAACTTTTCCATCGTCAACTTTCCTTATTTATCCGAGTAGTATTCCGCTATCACCTGCGTTTACATCTCCCAACTTATTCGATACTCTAAAAAATGCTCCAAGTACGATCAATTTTTAACCGAGGCAGGCTACTAATTTGAAATTACATGGATTTCAACAAACTCGTCTAAAATCAGCATTTTGTAAATTTTATGGTCGTTGTAATTACCTTGATAGCAAATATAACCTATCACTGGGTCGTATGTAGGCTTACTTGTTTCATACCAATTGTTAGGCCCTTGTTTTTATACTAAATTTGACTGCGGAAAGTTCCGTCTACCTGATCAATACATAGGGATCCTGGCGGGTGTTACCGGGCAACAGGGGATGCTTACTCTAGTTCCTAGGCACCTCAACCAACCTCTGGAATTTCCAGTGGTCCGTGTTTTATGCTCGCTTCACGGAATTGTATAATCGTTTGGTTTTTTTTTTTTAAAACGATCGATCACCGTTTACTGTCATGTTTTTCATGTTTGAATGGCAATTTGTGAAATGGAACGTATCAAAGATCAATATCAAAGACCTTATGAGAATGACTTGGTTCTGAAGCGCATCAGAAAAGTTAATATCCTATAGGCTTATCGTTAAGACTATTTGATTTTTGAAAATTATTATGGACTTCTAACTCTATGACTTTAGGAATGAATCATAAACCTTCCTTTATATTTCATTGGATTTCAATAGCTTGCGGCTTGGGAAAAAAAATTCAATGACATCCTAAAAATTAGATTCCAGGGCCTCGTGATATGTAAAATAAATACATGTGTACCGGTATGTACAGTGTATATATGTCGGGGTTATTTTTAATTTATTTAATAAAACCAAAAATAAGAATTCAATGCTTGTATTTACATTCTCTAATTTTCTTTCTTCATAATTGTTAATTTCGTTATTATGAATTTAGCGCCTTTCAGAACAGGTGTGCTTCGATGAAGGATAAAACGTATGCTCAACTAGGACCTTAGGTCACCAGTTTATTCACAACTATCAAATCAGTTTACTCCGCTACAAAGTGTAGTGCATTACAATCGCAAAGTGGGAATAGAATAAATCGTACTATTGTAAAGCCTCTACAATGTAAAATTACAAATAGAAATTGTATTTTTTTCACAAGAACAACCATCTGATTTTAGGAAAGATACAATTAGGAGGGGAAACCAAGCAACATTGATTGCAATATTATAAGATATATAGTAATGGATTACGTTGGGTGACCTGTGGACTCCCTTATGATATTATTATCCCACGTAAGGCAACAGTATCAATTTAACACAGTACCTAACCTCTGGTCCCCTTATTAATATACATGTATAAGAGTAGGCGACCTCCTTTCTCTGCATACGCAGATCTCAAAGGAATGGGGAGGGGGTAGGTCCTGTCCCCCCTACCCCGCTTGGACTTTTCACTTTTTCATCTTTTCTTTAAGATGATGGTATAATTATTTGGTAATCAATTATATTAGGTGTCCTTTGGTCTTCCTTCTGATACGTCATACCTCAATAGGTGACCTTATCAGTTTAACGCTTTAGTAAACCACTGGTTATTATTGATCTTACAGAGTAGATTTACCCCCTGTAAAGCAGTATCGGGGGTTGGAGTTCACTCCCCCCTTTTCCTGGAATTTACACTTATCAAATTCATAAACGAATCAAAACTACATTTTCCAAAAAATAAAATTTAAAAATATGGACCCATTGTGAATTGCTTCTGGGAAACATATACTGTATATGAAGAAAAAGCAAGTCTTATACTCATCCCCATTTCGATTAAATTAATTTAGAGGATTTAGAGAAATTGTGTGTTTTATTGTTGTTTTTTTTTATTTATTTATTTATTTTATTTTTTGTTTGTCAAAAAAATCAGGGTCTCAATTTTTGTGTGGAGTGGATTTGAAAAATAATTCTTCACATACCACACTTTTTAAACTATTGTCACACTTTTTAAACTATTGTCTCTTTACAACTTTTAGTGACCTAGGGTCTTCCTAATTATGTACAATATAAGATTATCTCTTGTCTCCGCATTCTCCGCATGATATCTCTAATTAATGTACAATATAAGGCAAACTCAGGTTTCCATATTCTTTATGTGGAGACCAGAGGTAACAAAGTTTATATGAATACAGAGACCAGAGGTCCCCTTATTTTGTAAATCATTGGGGAGACCATACTTCACATAAAATATTTATGAATACGGAGACCAGAGGCCCCTTATGTTGTACATTTTTGGGGAGATCAGAGATCACATAAAGTTTATCTGAATACGGAGCCCAGAGATCACATAAAGTTGTATATGAATACGGAGACCTGAGGTCCCCTTATTTTTAAATCATTAGGGAATCCATAATTCACATAAAAATTATTATAAATACGGAGACCAGAGGTCCCATTATGTTCTACATCATCAAGCAGGGAGACCAGAGATCACCTTATATAGTACATCATTAAGGAGACCAGACGTCAGCTTATATTGTACATCATTAGGGAGACCAGAGGATACTTTATATTGAACATCAATAGGGATACGAGAGGTCTCCTTATGTTGAACATCATCATGCAGTGTATATTGTACATTATTAGGGAGTCCAGAGGTCACCTTATATTGTACATCATTAGGGAGACCGGGGGTCACCTTATATTTTACATCAATAGGGAGACCAGAGGGCACCTTATCTTGTACATCATCATGAAGGGATACCAGAGGTCACCTTGAGTTGTACATCATTAGAGAGACCAGAGGTTACATAAAGTGTATATAAATGCTGAGACCAGAGGTCCTCTTATATAAAACATAAATAGGGAGACCAGAGTTCACGTGAAGTTGTATATGAATACATTATTAGGGAAACCATAGATTATATAAAGTTTATATAATTGCGGAGATCAGAGGTCACCTTAGATTGTACATCATAATGGAGACCATAGGTCACATTAAGTTGTTGTCTGAATACGCAAACCAGAGGTCCCCATATATTATACATCATTTGGTAGACCAGAGGTCACATAAGGTTGTGTATATGATTAGGGGTACCCGAGGTCCCCTTATTTTGAACATCACTGGGAGACCTCTGGTCTCCCTAATGATGAACAATATACACAATTTTATGAGACCTTTGGTCTCCCTTATGATGTACGATATAAGGGGACCTCTGGTCTCCGTATTTATGACCTCTTGTCTCCCTTATGATGCAAAATCTAAGGGGACCTTTTGTGTCGGTAATTATATATGAAAACAAAGATCAGAAGTCTCACTAAATACGGAGATCAGAGGACATCCTATGTAG